AAATGCAAAAAATTGTTGAGGAACCAAAAATATGCATTTCGTAAAGTTGAGGGACTAAATTTAGCATTTAACCAAGAAAATACAATGAGATTAACTACGAATTTAAATTAAAAATTTAATAAAATAAATTTTGAATTTCAAATAGATGACCTAATCTTTTTTTTTTCAAAAAGCAAAAATTTTTATTGAGTGCATACAAGGGGTACTCAATCTAGATCACCAGGAATGATATAGTATTTAGAGACGGCTCAATTGAGATGACAAAGATATTTGATCAAGTGCAAGTGCAAGTTCAAGCTTTCCTGTAGGTTAAACACAAAGGGAATGAGGGCCAATTTTGTCTTTCAAATTGGATTCTCAATCCCACATGTTGCAATATTTTGTAAATAAATCTATGTATGGTACACCCTTTCTTTCATTAATGTTGGGATTGATTAAATGAATCTATGTATAAATGATTTGCTCAAAAAAATGTTTTTGTTATATAAAATTCAAATTAGATTTGAGTAAGATTTTTTAATTTTTTTTATTTTATAAATAAAGCACTAAATTTTAATTTAAATTTACCTAGTTTTTAGTTGTTGGCTAAATAGATAATAATCATTTTAATTTAAAGAAGAAAATATTGAAATAACCAAATAAGATCATAATTTGAAATTAAATTTGAAAAGGAAAAGATCAAAATCTACTGTTAAATAGAAAAGTTATCTAGATACTAAAAACATTTTGGTTATTTTTTAAGTTTTGAGCCTTAATGCATTTTGCGCTTAATGGCAGCAAAATTTAATAAGGTATAATCTATTAATTTGAAACTTAGAAAGATGATACAATAAGACTAATTGTGAATTTTAAATTAAAAATTTAATAAGGTAAAATTTGAATTTCAAATAAATTACTTAATCTAAAAGAGTTTTTGTTATATAAATTTCAAATTAGATTTAAATAAGATTTTTCAATTTTGTTTATGTTGCAAATAAAATCATAATTTTAATTTGAATTTATCTAAATTTTAATATTTGTCTAACAATGAAAAATAAATAAATAAACACCATTCTAATTTAAAGAATAAAATATTAAAATCTTCAAATAAAATCACAATTCGAATTTTTCTTTTTTTTTTAAATAACAAAGATTAATATTTTATCAAAATTAAGAAGTACAAGGGAATTCCAAACCCGTTACACATGCAGCTATATATATATATATTTTTTTTTTCGTCGGTATCCGAGGCTTCGGCCCGATTAATCTGGACTTGATCCGCGTCGCGCACTTAAAAATGGTGTGTGAGTCTCCCAACGAAAGCTATTGCATACACAATGTCTCGAATTCGAGACCTTACTTAAGCTGGAACAAGCCGTTTACCATTATATACTTCTTTCAATCAAACCAAAAATCAAACCAGAAATGAAAGGTCACAGTTTGAAATTAAAATTTAAAAAAGAGAATATTTAAATCAACCCTATGGTTGTTAAATTATTTGTGTTCAGGGGTCCACTTCGTGATGGATTTGTTGGGGTGAATATCAGGAAAATGTTTTGTGGACTGAATTTTATTGGTTTGTTGGAGAGAAAATTACTAATATATTTTTTAGTTTTTTTTTTTTTGAAAAAGTAAGTTTATTAATTAAATATAAGAGGTACTCAAATTTATTTACAATCAAAGTAATTCAACTGCAAATAAAGACTTTAACCGTACCTCTATTTGATTAATTACAACATATAAAGTCGTTTAGATTTAAAATTGAATAGGGCATAGAAAATCTCCAGTCCTTTTCTCTATTTCTTAACCACTAGTAAGTCTTCGTTTGAATGGAATAAAAATTCTTCCAACTTCTGCTGAATTGTTTTTGAAGACTTTTTCATCTCTGACATTCTAGATAGTCCATACTACGGTAAACCACACAGACTCCCATCCTACCTACATTTTTCCATTAATCATCAACCCATCATGTTGATCAAAAGCCTCCCACACGTTATTTGCTGTTACCGTTTTAACATTCCACCATTTATAATTTATATTTTTTAATTTAGCACATGTCATTAATTTATATTTAAAAATAATAATTTTTTAATAAATGTGTAAATAAATATATTTAATTAAAAATTGTAGCAATTATTTTCCATTAATGAATGAGTTGCATTTTTTTTTGTTAAAGA